GAAGGATCAGTTTTAGACGATGAAATCGAAACGATATCTGCTACAAACAGCAAACGTCTAATCTCGACACGTCCTACAAAGATAAATTCCTCGCCTTGGCTGTGCCTGTCCATCCTGTCAAAGAATGACATAAACAGGAAATAATACAAAAGGCATCCTTGGTGGAGACCACTGCCAACACTTAAAGGTACCGATTAAACACTGTTTACTCCAACGCAACGCCTGCTATCCATACTCGTAACAACTGGCTATCGATCCCATATATCTGCAGGCACGTCTACAGGCTGCTGCACGGAAACTGGTCATAAGCTTTATCCAAATCTATGAAGCCGATGTGAATCGGAGGAGTGAACTCCCACGATTTCTCAACAACTGGGTCTAGGGCGATGTCCTGATGAGTCATACTTCAACCTGATCCATCTTGGATCTTGCAGTCGGCGCTTCCGCGGTACCCCATCTCCAAGACAGTTGCGCAAATGTTTCCCGGGAGACTCCGTAAGGTAGTGTCTAGATAACTGGAGCACTGTCCATGATCTGCCTTCTTGAACAAAGGTACTAAAACGTCCACTGTTCAGTCTAGGATACCTTTCCCGCAGTACCTGCAATTTGACAGACACGTGTTAACAAGACACGTGTTAACAACATGCCTTGTTCGCTTAAAGCTTTAAGCATCTAAGGGCGAGTTTAATCGATTTCAGAAGTCTTATCACTTTTCAAGCATTTTTCAGCTTCTGCTACATCATCCATTAAAAGACTAAGATCCTTTTCCCACTGCAATTTAGGCGACTCGCCCTGCCGTTGCTCAGAGTTAAAAATGTCCTCAAGTATATCCTAACTTATATACCATATTCTTGCTATCGGTAAGAAAACATCCTGACTTCTCCTGCAGGACCCTAAGACTGTCTTTCTTCGCTTGGAGGCAGCGGATGGTCTGCCAGAATACTTAGTACGCCGTCTGAAAATTCGACTCTAACGCCAGACCGAACCATTCTCATGAATTAACTATCCATCGAGCCAATGTCTTACGATCCGCATTACGGGCTTGTTCGCACCGCTTTCGCGATGAAGGCTGTTTGCTTTAAAGCCATATCTTGAATGCGGCATTCTTATCGTTGACAGTTGAATTTATAACGACAAACAGAAAATTTGTTTCTGATTAGAGGCGGCAGTCCGACGCGTTGTTTTTTAAATATCATTCTTCATTTTTCTGTAGGAAACCAACCTTAATCCCATTTGCTTGTATTGTGAACCCTTTCTGTAAGTAGTGTCCACTCTTAAGCTCTAGCAGCCACTCAACCTTTCGCTTAACTTCGCACGATTCGCAACATGCCATCGGATTTTACTAAGTTATTCCGGCATCTGAAGAGTTGCTTCGACTAGAAATGATCACAGCAGTTGTGCTTTACCAGTGTCAGTGCTGTAACAACTTTGATGTGTTAGCCTGGCATTTTCAGCGCCTTTCACCATCACGCCTTACGAATGACTGCTCCTTCGGCGAGTTTAAAGAACTTCTAGATATAAATATGATCCATTCTACAAGTGCCTCAACCGCTTCAGATCACGTTGGTTAAAGAGATAAGCCATAATCCTACTGAATTAAGTTATGTATAGAAATGCATACTGACCTGCAAAACAGCAAAAATGCATATGCTTGAGGGTCGATTGTTTTAATACGAAAAAGCACTATTTGGCAGTTTCGACATCAGACAAAAATGATAATTTTAACTTATTTCTTTCCATACTTAAGTCACTCCACACAGCAAGTCAACAAGTAGCTGAAAAATAAACAGAAACGGCCATCGGTAAGAAAAACGGTAAACCATCTATACAAAGCTACTTTGAAACAAGATGGTAAAGGTAAACCAGATTTTTGATCTTCACCCGGCAAAAAAAGTGAATCAGGTTAATTCATGGCCTGCTTTCACGTAATCATGCACCCATGAGAAGACAAACATTGGTCGATCGATACATCGCAAACGCCAAAATAAAGCGCTTACTCGTAGGCGTTGCTCTCACAGGAATAGCGCTAACTTTGAATGAGCAAGAAGGGTCTAAATCGAGCCGCCGTTTCACTGAACCAACCGGTTTCGTGACGGTAACGCTTTTCGCATCGGTCGATGGCCCTAAAATGAACAATAAAAATATGCGCCTTCACGAAATAATAAGCAAAGGGAGAAAGCGAACGCAGAAAGTCAGCATAAGGATGGAAGTCGATCAGAAAAAAATTACTTAAAACGTGATTCTAACTCTGCAAGCGAGCTCTGAAACTTATTTCATACTTGATGCAGATGGTATCATAGGCTTTGGTGATGAAAGATTTAATGTATTATGAAATTGACAGTGGTGCTGTCATTGTCGAAAGACTTCACTCATTGCTATCAATCCTGCATATATACACAATTGCATGTTTCATCAGCGCAAAATAATCTACTTGTCCATTCTCAATAGCTGCCGAAGGTTCCTTTAGAGTGGTCTTGACCCGTCTTTTCGTGATTCCGAGACGCTTGACAGTATTTATACTTCATCTGACAAACAGCCAAGGTTTAAAGCGGGCCGCCTGGAATTCAAAGTGTTGCATAGGATGATATATTATCCAAAGAATATCTCGAATCAAATATTATCCAACAGCAACGGATGGGCGGCAATAAATATGTTAAATGGTGAAACGGAGTTATTGCTGCATTGAATGGTCTGGTAAAGGATGTAACTAGAATGGGAGATTAAACGAATGGCCTAATTATAGTCGCAATTACGATTGCATGAAAAATTCATGATTTGTTTTTACAAAAATTTCTCAAGTAGATCTAGGCATAGATCTAGGCACGGGTTTTGGATTAAAGTTTAAAAACAGTCCATTTAAAGAGGTTTCTTTCATTTAACTACTTAAAGTTTAGTTCGAAGACGCGTAGTTTTCCCTTTGCTTTTTAAATGACGAACTCTTATACTGATGTTGGAATTGTAGTAGGCGCATTCTGAAAGTTTCTGGCATGAGATCGAATGACCTGAAAGTTCATCAGTATCTTTAAGCAGGAGATTCTAAGGAAGAGGGGACATCGAAACTGAGTGATAATGAACTAAACTACTCTACCAACTAGAGTCCTAAAATAGTTTGGTGCTCGAAGCCCTTTCTCAAAAACAGGATAAAAAATTACAATACTTTTAAAACGCTAAAATATTTCGTTCATGCGCTGGTGGTCAGACTGAAAAAATACAGTAAAACACGGATCACCTTCGCTTTCTGTATAAATAAACCGTGTTTTACGCCATTTTTCCAATTTAAATACGCTGTAAGAAAAAACTGACTGTTCAACGAAGATGTACAAAAAAGGTTTACTCCTGGTGCAAGATTGAGGGAAACACTGAAGTGATGGTAATGTACAATATCAGGAAATGGACAGAATTGGACCTATTAGCGGCACGAGGATTGTAAAAGATAGAGAAGTGATGTAATAGATGTAATGCAGTACAAAATTAAGTATACAATCAGAATATAAAACGACTTTGCCGTGATTAGACAGTTTAAAACTTCAGAAAGCTACCTGGCTTTTGACAAGTTGTTCGAGTACTGAGGCCGACAGAAGCACAAGCCTCTGAAGGAAGCGATACCTGAAGGATATAAATACGAACTCATTAATTCAACAACTAAGCAAATATATTTTGATTATACCTGGCTACATGGCGGCACACTGTCAATGCTTTTCTCAGACCACAACACCGAGTCCTTCGTCCATGCCAGTTCTTCCAGTACACGTTCTTCAATCTTCAAACATGAAATACGATATCGTAAATAGAACACACGCAAAATGAAAAAGATGTGAATATAAACGAATATTAAGTTCGACCTGATTGCTGTTAATCTGAAATAGGACAACTTTTGTGGTAAATACGATCCGCTCTCAGAAATCAAAAGACACTGCCATGCCTACAGCTATTCTCATTCTTAAGCAAGGTACTTTCGCTGCAGTTAGAATGAAACCAAGCGCTCACTATCATTAAAACTAATGACAGGTATTTTTAGATCAATAAGCCTGTCACATGCTTTTATTAGTATTTCCTGTATTAAATGCAGCGCCATTAGATGCTGACTATCACTGGTCGCAGTCGATCTTTCTTGAATGTGAATAGCAGCTTCTTCGTCACGCAATTCCTTTAGCAGTTAGTAATCGGCAAAGAACGATGATTCGACGCTCGTCCAACTCACATGGGTGTTTTTACCCTTGTTGGAGCAGGAACTGCCGCAGGACAGAATGATTAACGCTTCGATGACTGACTGGCTTGCTGAAAAGAAAATAAGCTGCATGGAAGGAAAGTCTGCCTTTCGAGTATGAGAACGAAATTAGCTGCTACAGAGCATCATCCCTCACAAAATGGATATGCCATATGTTTTCGAAAGTACCACAATACTCAAGGTAGAAAAGTGCCTAAAAGTATCTACATGCTTGTCAAGAGTTGTAACATTTTCGCCTGATTCAAATCATGAGAATCACCTCGATGAACTTTCTGCAGTCAAGTGGCATGATTCCCGAACGGCGAAAATGCTGGCAAATTTCTGCACTGACAAGCTAATTTCTAACTGACGATTTAACTCAAAAAGTGCTGGGCCTCCACTTGAACGAAAAGTAATGCAGACTTTGGACTACCCTTAAGAAAATGTGCACAACGCACACAAATTCGAACAAATTCGATAACAGATATTTTATGAAAAAAATCAACATCGTTCCCCTTCTCACATCTGTTTAAGTGCAAAATCATTTGGCCATTAGTGGACTTCTTCATCTTCACTTCACGCTTAATTAGAGAATTCAGTATTAATCAAGAGCTTAGCTTTGAAAGTGATCACGGACGAAATATGAGAATGCTCCTTAAGGAAAAATACAAAAAGACAAGCTACTGTAACAACAATGACGATGTTCCAGACCTTGTCTTCAAAGGCGTGACAATATTCCAGCTTCTTCAAGGACAGTGTACAAAAATTTGAACAGAAACCTTAAACTTCGCGTAAAACAGCGACTGTCTCAAGGCGCTACGACTGTTCCTGAAAACAAGGCTCTAGTGACTATCGCAAAATCAACTTACATCGTTTAAATGCTTGACAGTGTCGCGATTCAACTCCAGGTCAGCACGTATGACCACTTCGATGATTTTGTAGAAATGAAATGCTTGAATGTTGAAAACGCCCAGCAACCATGGAAACGATCTAAGAGCATGCATGAAGAAAGACTTTCAAGAGCCATCTCTGATATGACAGCGAACATCGAAATAAAAAGTACTTCTTGTTTCCGTACAAATACCGCACAGTTTCTGCGCTACACGCAAACAATGACCTGTGGAACTGCTCCAATTTCAACGCATTCTGAAAAGAGTGTCGAAATCAGTTCAATCACGCAACGCAACAATGATACATTTCATACAGAATACCGACGAACCTGCAACCGAAACAGTTTACTATCACGTGAAAAAACGCCAGTATACAACGCTACTCGACTCCAGTACAATGCTGATATACCTCATTTGGCATGACTGTTCAGTCGGCTCTGAGTCGAACTCAGTAGAAAGACGGCGGCCTGTGACATAAGCAGTCCATTCGCCTTTCATCGCTCGAAGGTAGATAAATAAATCATTGCATGTTGAAAAAAGTATGGAACACTGTGCATCGTGCAAGGTGTAGACATCACCGCCTAACATCGTAAAGGCAATTATCACCATATCGAAAGCTCTATGAAAGAAGGGTGCAACACATGGTAGCCATAAAGGGTGGCAACCACCCGAAGAGCTGAAAAATTTCCTGTCCTTTCTACTTAGTTTCAACAGACGCCTACAACGAAGAAAGAGAGCAATACGCTTCTTGAAAACGAATGCTTTATGATTTCACCACCAGTGTGGCTCCAGTGATTATTTCTGAGTTCATAACAATTCACGAATGAGACCATGAATTTTCACAACTTCAAGCAGGCAATCAACGTAATCCCGGAAGGAAGAGTACAATAAAATGCAATACAACCCCTGGACAGCGAGGTAAGTGGCAGCATCAAGCAGATAAACGGTTTATTACTAGAGGGTAATTACGCGGGCAGCTGCTGCAATCTAGCCTTCGTCGGACATCTGGAGAAGGGAGGGGGTGTCGTTTCCATAGCGAAGACTTAGTTCCACGAGCTACGTTTGCGGGTAGTTTCAGCACTTCAGGAGATGAAGAAAGCTGCTATACCTTCTGGTAGATGCCTCATCCGCTCAAAAAGCTGTAATAGCGGTGATCCAGGCATCCACTTGATGTGATCCCGCCGATCTGCCCACTTCAATTGAATCTATCAATTTAATGTTAAACAGCTATCGCTG